TCTCGGAGCCCTCTTGGGCCGTCTTGGCGCGCACTCGAAACTCATACATGCTTTTGTCTCTTGGGGCCCGCTTGGGGGTCCTCTTGGAACCCTGTTGGGGCGTCTTGGGGGCCTCTCGGGGTCCTCCGGGACCTTCTTGGGGCCTCTGGGGTTGGGACCCTCCTGGGCCATCCTTGGAACTCTTAGAGCCACCTTGGGTGCCTCTTTGGCCGTGGTTGACCCCTCATGGGCGCTCCGTTGGCGCCCCAATGGGGCCGTCTTGGAGCCCTCTTGGGACGTCTTGGGACGCTTGTGGGGGCCTCTTGAACCGTCTTGGGGCGACCTGGAAAGCGCATGGGATAGTGTCTTGGGCGGTGGTAAAATCAGAAACAAAAAAACACGAAAAGCCACAGAAGATCACTGAGATGTGCCTCTTGAAACCCTCTTGGGGGAGCAAGTTCCCGCCCTGCGTTTCGCCCCCACCTTCTGGGGGGATCCCGAGGCCTCCGAGGGTTTCCAAAGTCTCTGGAGGCCTCCTGAGGCCTCCGCAGGCCCAGGAAAGGGTAGCACATGTCTGGAAACGTCGACATTCGATCCCCGATCTTGCCCCGAAAACATTCGAGCCTCGATCTTCGACCCTCGACTGTGGATCTTCGATCCTGCCCCTCTGCTCAGGGGGTCGCGGCGCCTTCGCCGAGTGGACGTAGTCGCTGAAGGGGCCCTCCGAGGGACGGTTGCGCGCCAGTGGCCAGGTCGTAGTCGTCGTCACCGCCGCGGTCGTCGCCGTCGTCGTCCTCCATCGGTCGTTTTGCCTTCGTCGTCGTTTTGCATTCTGGCCCGCCGTCCCCCATCGGGCGTTGGCAGAACTGGGTTTAATGTGACCTGGTTTGGTGGTGTGTGCTGGGGGACGCCCCCCCGCCCCGTTCTATTGACTGGACCTGCCGCCACCCGAAAAAACACCAGCTACGGCAGACCTGGTTTCGTGATTCGGGCCAAGTCAGGGGCTCCGGGGCCCTACCACTAAACGGGTCCCGGGGCTCCGGGGCTCCGGGGCTCCTCCTCCTCCTCCTCCTCCTCCTCCTCCTCCTCCTCCTCCTTGTCGTCCTCCTCCTCCGCCTCCCTCATCTTCTGATCCTGGCTTCCTCGTCCTCTTGTTCCTTCTGCTCCCTCCTCCTGCGTCGTCCCTCCCGATCCTTCATCAGCCTCCCGATCCTCTTCCTCCTCTTCCTCCTCCTCCTCCTCATCATCCGCCCTCCCCACTTCCTGCGGGGGGCGGAGAAGGGACGACGGCGGCCTCGACGAAATGAAGGCCGTGGGCTACCTTGCGCACGGCCCGCTCCGCGGTGATGCCTCGCGAGCGCAGGGAGGAGGGGGTAGGGGAGGGGGAAGGGAGGGTGAGGAGAGGGTAGGGGATGGGGAGGAGGGGGAGGAGGGGGTAGGGGAGGGGGAGGGGAGGAGGGGGCCAAGACACGCCCAAAGTGCACCAGCGATGAGCGATGCTGCAACACACCATCCCGCTCAGGCATCCCTCCGTGCCGCGGGGCGCAGCCTCCCCTGCAAGAGCGAGCGGCCACGTCCTGAGGGCCTGCAGCTCGGGCGAGGAACCCCTGTCCGAAAAGGAGCCGACCCTCCGTCATCCGACAGATCACAGAACCAGAGGTCGTTTTTGTCATTCCGTGTTTTGCCGTTCGGCGCGGGCCCTCGCACCCCTTCCCTCCCTCCCCCCGTGGAGTAGATCCTGGCTGTTTTTGGCGCCAGTTTCGAGCACGTGGAGTCCCTCCCCCCTGGGACGCACTGTTGCAAACGGTGGCACTAAGCAGAGGTCCAGAGCCAGGCCCTCCCCCCTACCCCCCCTTCAACCCAATGTCGAAACGCCGAAGAAGAAAACGCTCATCAAGCGAACCGTCAACCATCGGTCGGATCATATGACCGGCAACACCGCTTTGACACGGACCTGCCCTCCACCCGTCTGACCGCTGGACAACACAGCGCTTCAGGCCGCAAGTGCTGCAGACATGTCGAACGAAAGTCCCGCTTTGAAGATGGCCCGCTCATAATATGTGTGTATAGCCGCATGTGTTGTGATGAATGTGTGTCGAAGAGACGAGGATCACACTTACGAAAAACGGACAGGCGTCGAACATTTAAGAAGAATGCGCGCGGCAATGAAGCGAGAACCACACTTTGAGAACGGCATGCCCTCCATCCGTGCACCTGCTGGAAATTCCAATCTCCACGATCGTGAGCGAGGAGGGGTTCCCAGGCGAATCCGCACGCATGGTGATGGTAGAATGAGGGGTGGAGGCGGAGAAAGAGAATGGCTGGGGTGGTGGAGAACGGGAGGAGAAGGATGCAGGCACGTGGGAATGTAGAAAGAATTAGAGAGGGAAGAGGGGAGGAGGAGAGGAGGAGTTGCGCTGAAGGGAGAATCTGGAATAACAAGGGAAGGAATGAGGACGACTAGTCAGAGCAGGACGGGAGATGGAGGGGAACGGAAGAGGAGACACAAAGAAGAGAGAAGGAGTGAACAGGAGCAAGAACATGAAATATCATGAATGAGCTGAGAGAGAGAGAGAGAGAGAGAGAGAGAGAGAGACAGAGAGAGACAGAGAGAGAGAGAAACAGAAAACAAAACAACGAGTGTGGCTGAAAGAGAGGTAGGGAGAAACAAGAGAGAAATAGAAAGAGAGAGCACGAGAAGACAGAGAGAAAGAGCGAAAGAGAGAGAGAGAGAGAAGACAGAGAGAACACGCGAGAGCGAGAGAGAGAGAGAGATGACGAGATAGACATCGAACGACGTGTATATTAAACTATACGCATGCGTAGCCCGTGATTACACATATGCATGTATACAAGTGTGTGTATATTATTAGAATTAGTATGGTGATGAGTATTCTTATTACTACTAGTATTAAATGATTATTTTACTATTCATGTATAGAGGGAGAGAGAGAAACAAAAAAACGACAAACACACGAAACAAGGATACTGACCGCGAGTCCAATGCTTAGGGCTGGCGTGTAGCGAAGTGGAGCGAGGGCGAGCGACCCTCGACGTGCGAGCAGACGCACGGCAGTGTGGCGGACTGGGGCCCGAACGCCAAGCAGCGCGAGCGCCCCAGGGCTCCCGTTAGCAGATGGCAGAGAGAGACGTGACGCTTTGGCAGCTGCGCCCCCTCGGCCTGGGTGGACCCTCGTTGCGGGGCACCTCTCGCGGGGCGTGGCGATGCCTGCGTGCCGGGCGCGGAGGGTTGGGGTGAAGCGCGCCCGGGCACTGCTGGCCAGGCAGCTGGCTCCGCCCGCTGATGGACGCGGAAGTGTGAGCAGCGAGGAGCGCCTGTAGGGTGGCCGCGAGTCGGGCTTGCCTTCGCGTCTCGGCCGCCATGGCAGGCTGAGTGCTAGCAGGCGTCTCGCCTCGTCGCACTGCTGTTGGAGTGTGTGAGTGCGCTGACGACGAGCGCTCGTTGGCATGGGTGCCACTGTGTGTGGTGGGCGGTTGGTTTGGTGGGGCCCAGGGGAGCCCAAGAGGGAGGACTCGAGATGGCCTTCGGGACCCTCTGGGGCAAAGATAGTCCCCGCGACTGCTGAGACCCTCCACAAGGCCCCAAGGGTAGCCCAAGAGGCTCCAACATGTCTCAAGAAGATCCTAGCTGCCCCCAACAGGCCGCAAGAGGCCCCCAACAAGCCGCACGAGGCCCCCTAAAGAGGCTCCCAAGAAGCATCCAAGAAGGGAAGCATCCCAACCCATCCGACCCCGAGAAGTACCCAAGACGCCTCTGGCCCACGACTCAGGCACAGTGACGGGATTGGCCGTGTGTGTATGTGTGTGTGTGTGGACGTAGCTGGGATGTCGATAGAGTTGCTGAGGGGTGGCAGCGACAACGACATCACCTCCGCGGCAACACGAGCTCCGACATTGTTCTCTCCATCATCTGCTCTCCCCAAGAGCGAGCGGCGCAGAGGTGATCCTCATGCGGCACGCCCCTCCTCGCGCGCACACGTCACGCATAGATTGACACCGCGCACCCAAAAGCTCCCCTTCTCGGCACTACCCGTCCCCATGCCTGTCCTCCTCCTCCTCGTCATCATCTTCCCTCACACTCTCCACCTCCTCCTCCTCCTCCTTTCTCCTCCTACTCTTCCTCCCCACTCCTGCTGATCCTACCTACCTCCCCCCCCTCTCCTCCTCCTCATCTTCCTCCTCCTCCTCCTCCTCTTCCTCCTCCTCCTCCTCCTCCTTCTCTTCCTCATCCTCCTTATCCTCCTCCTCCTCCTTTCCTCTCTCATCCTCCTTCGAACTGTTCCTCATCACCCACTCCTCCCCCCGTCGTCCCTCCATGGCGCGGACGCCGTAGGCGCTCTGGGCGACGGGAGGCCGCCCACGTGGGGCCCGAGCAGACGGGGCCGGAGGATCGCACCGCATCAGCGATGCATCGGCGACGTTAGGATGAGACAAAGTCGGGCCGCGCACCGCTACGCAACGCTGAGGCATCGGCAAGGCGGCGCGATCATCCGACCACGTCTGCTCTGAACCGTTTTGGATGGCCGGACTCCTTCCTTCTCCTCGTCGCTGGGAGTGGGGCCAGGAGGAGGGGCGCTAGCACGGCCAGAGGCGTTGCCGCGGACGAGGGGGCCCAGGGAACGTGTTGAAAGAAGAAGAACCTAGAGGAGGGGGGCATGAACTGAACTCTGGGAAACCTCGTGGCCCCGGCCATGGTATACACACACACACACACACTTCACACCCCTGGTCCTCGTCCCCCCCTTGACGCCCCCGACTTCCCCCCCGACAGAAGAAGACGTGTCTGCCTGAACAGAAACTTTCGGAGGTCCGCGCGAATTTCTTGAATCGGCGCTGGGAGCCCCTCCCTGGCGCGCGGAGCACGCGCGGGGCGGCGCTGGAGGCACTGCCAAGGGAGCAGAGCTCAGAGCTCAGATCCGAGAAGTCCACTCGGACCTCCGAACTATCTATGCAAAATGCCGATCTTCCTCCTCGAGTTCTTCGGCTCCTCGCGGTGCGCAGCAAGCCTTTTTCCCCCCCACACCTGGGCCGGCGGCAACGGAAGGCGCACTCCGCCGACGGAGCCGGGCGGGCCGCCCCCCCTCCCCCGCGACGAGCAAAAAGACGCACTGTGCAAGGGCAGGGGCGGCGCTCCCTGTACAATTGCGGCGGGGGGGGGGCGCGAGCGCGCGCAGCCCCTGTGGGGCCGTGGGGGGCGGGGAGGGGGGAGGGGGATGGGGAGGGGGCGGGCTTTTTGGCACCGATCAAGCGAAAGGGATGGGGAGGGGGGTGGAGCTGCGGCGCAGGAGGGGGAGGCGGGGGAATGACGGAAGCTGGAAGCAAGATTGGCCTGCCCCCAGAGAGGTAGGTCCGAGCGGAAGACGATCGGGGAGGGGGCGGGGGGCAGGGAGGGGCAAGGCGACGGAGCAGGCGGCAGTGGACGTGGATACTATCCCCATGTCCATATCCACCGCCTGCCGAGGTACCCGAAGATCTAACGCCAAGGCGGTGATTCCGAACAAATCCGAGCCTCAGATCCACTCCCCTTCCTCGCTACTTACCCCTCCTCTCCCTCCTCCTCCTCCTCCTCCTCCTCCTCCTCCTGCATGTTATGGGGGGGGATCGGCGGAGAGGCAGGACGGATCGCCGCTTCACACTTCCTCTCTCCTCCCGCTCCTTCTCTTTCCTGATCCCTCTGCACCTAGGGGGAGGCCGGGGCTGAGAAGTCCGGACGAGGACGGAGGCGGAGGAAGGATGACGAGAAAGTAGAGGGAGGAGCGAAGGAAGTGAGGGTGAGGAAGGGGAGAAGGGAGGCGGGGGCGGGCAGGCGGGGGGCGGATGGAAGGAGGACGAGGTGGAGGAGGGAGGACGAGGTCGAGGGAGGGAGGAAGGAGGTCGAGGGAGGAAGGGGGCCGCAATGCGGGCACCGCGCCGCCCTGCGACACTCTCGCAAACAGGCACCGCGGCGCGCCTGTGCCATGTGCAGCTGCCGTTTGGTGCTGCTGGCGCCGGCGAGCGCAGAATGCGAGGCGTCCGCGGGCAGAACGCGGGGCGCCAGCGCCTGGTGTCGACAGGAGCCGCAACCTCTTTGGGCGATGCGGTCCAGCTCGCCATCCGGTTCCGCGACGGCGATTGGCGTGCTGGAGAAGGAGGAGGACGAGGAGGCGGACGACGACGCAGCAGGAGAGACAGGAAAGAGGGCAGGCACGGGGGGCGGGGGGGGGAGGGGAGGAGTCTGAAGAGGCGAGAAGGGCAAGGACGATGACGGCGACGATCACGACGACGACGACGACCACCATTATCACCGAAATGACCACAACGACGGCGACGACGACGACGACGACGACGAGCACGGCGGCGCGCGAAGTCGGTGTTGGCGTGGCCGTCGTCGGGATGCGCTCGCGTGCGGAGGGAGGAAGGGAGGGGGGGAAGGAAGGACTAGGGGAGCGAGGGAGGGAGGGGGGGGAGGAAGGGGGGGAGAGAGAGAGAGGGAGAAATGGACGGTGGAGGGGGGCAAGAGTCAAGGGAGGAGGGAGGGAGAGGGTGTCGGCGCAAGGTTTCCACACCCTCCTGCATGCACACTGCCAGCAAACATGCTCGCCCGCCCAGAAGATACCGGCCAGGGACGTTGGGCGTGGCTTCATGGGGGTGTCATAAACGGGGGGGTCAGAAACGGTCCCGTTTCGAGCCCCTTTCGGGCCCCTCCAGAGCCCCAGGGGGCTCGTGTAGGAGCCGTCTGGGTACCTTTTTGGACCACCCTCGCCCCCCCCCCCCCCCCTTTATGACCCCTCATTACACAACGCACAAAGACGAAACGCTACCCCGACACCGGAAAAGCGTGCTGTCAGCGGCCGGCTTGATTCTCTCCACCCGATCGGAGGTGGATCGAGGCCGTTGCCCGTTTCTCGACGGGGGGACGGTCGATGCTGGCTGCGGGAGGGTCGAGGATCGAGGGAGGGGCGGGAGGGGCGAGGATCGAGGGGGGGGAAGGGACCGATGAGCTCGATGGCGGGGGGGAATGAAGGGGCCCAGGGACACACAAATGCATAGACACAAATCACAGGATCCCCCACACTTTCCCATATATGTTCTGGGCTAAACCTGGCTTCTGAATCCCGCCAGCCCTCTGGGCTTAGGTGGTATAACGCGTTATGTTCTTCTCTCTATCACTGTTCCCTATTAATAAACACCCCCTCCCCCAGGCGACTGGGGGCCAACCAGGGTCCATGCCGACCCCCCCACCCACCATCCCTTGTAAAAAACATTACAAAAAACATTCAGCCTCCAAATTCTGAACATGCGCAGCCAACCCGATGCGGCCCCCCCCACCATCCCTGTCAAAAAACAATACAGAGTACACTTGGCGGCGGCGGCGGTTGCGGCGTCTGCGGCGGCGGTGGCGGCGGCTGCGGCGGCTGAGGCGGCGGCGGCGGCGGCGGCGGCGGCAGTGGCTGCGGCGGCGGCGGCGGTTTGGCAGCGGGGGGCGGCGGCGGCGGCGGCGGCGGCGGCGGCGGCGGCGGCGGAGGCGGCGGCGGCGGAGGCGGCGGCGGCGGCGGATTGGCCCCCAGTAGCTGCCCATCCCAAGACGACTGCTGAATATGCTGCGGCTCGGGCCAGGCTCGGGTGCTACGTATGTGTTGGGAGGGCGGGTGGGAGGGAGCGAGACGGCTTGCGGGCGGGGAGGGGGTACCTTGACCCCTCCCCCTACCCCCTCCCCTGGGCCTGGGAGGGGGGGGGCCGGAGGCGCCGCAGCGTCCAAGATGGCCCACGAAGGCTCCAAGAGGGCTTCAAAGTCGCAAGATGGGCTCCAATATGGCCCATGCTACTTCAAGATGGGTCAAGATAACCTCCGACATACCCCCAAGAGGCCCCAAGACAGCCCCAAGACGGATCCAAGTGCTCTCCGAGCCCTCCACGGCGCCCTCCAGGATGCCAAAACCCTTCAAAAGCCTAGGGAAAATCCATGTGTTTGGCATTATCGCCTTTTCGCTTCCGGCTTTGGAAGCCTCAAGATGGCCCCAAGATGGCCCAAAAGAGGCCCAAGAGGGGCCCAAGAAGGCCGAAGACGGCCCCAAGATCGCCCAAGAGGCGCCCAAGAGCGCTCCAAGAGGGCCCCAAGATGCCGTTTGAGAGCCTCCGAGGGGGCAAGAATTCAAAAGCTGGCTTTGAGTTCAAAAAACTGGTTTCTTGAATTCAAGAACTGTCGTCTTGAATTCAAACATCGAAAGAAAGAGGGGATCGACGAACTGGACGGCGGGGGGTGAGCGACGACCGCGACGCCCCGCGGGCCCTCCTCCTCCTCTTCCTCCTCCTCCTCCTGCTCCTCCTCCTCCTGCTCCTCCTCCTCCTCCTCCCCCTCCTCCTCCTGCTGCTCCTCCTCCTCCTCCACTTCCACCTCCTCTTCCTCCACCTCGTCCCGAGGGGCGCGCCCGAGCGGCCGCTGCCGCCGCGGCGCCCTACGAGCCGGGGCACGCCCCCCAGCAGGGGGCGCGCCGCGGACTGGCGGCCTCCTCGACGACCACGACGGCGTCCTCGGCGGCTCCCCCTGTGCGTCCCGCTCCGTGCGTCCTCCGTCCTCCGTCCTCCGTTATCTGTAAGGGAAAGGAATAAAGAAGGAGGAGGAGGAGGAGGATCAGGAGGAGGAGGCGGAGGATCAGGAGGAGGACGTCCTCCATCGTCGCCGCCGCCGTCGCCGTCGCCGTCCTCCTCCACTGCGCCCCTCCCTTCTTCGCCCCTTCGTACCTCAGCCGCCCCCCCTGCATCCTCCCCCTGTCCAGTCCTCCGTGGGCTCTCTGCGAGGCGTTACATCTCAATTCGTCAGGCGATTCGTGCCCTCACAGTCGTGGTTGCGGCATCAGCAACCGCTCTTGGATATCGGTAAGCTCCTCCAACCTACCCCCTTCCCAATCCATCTCTATCATTCTTCACCCGTCCTTCTTCCCCAAATCCCCTTCGCCCCTCTCACCCGCGGAACGGAAAAGGACTTAGGAAACGGAAAGCGTTGGAAGGAATGGGCGGAACGGAGAGGGTAAGGTGGAGCGGAGAGAGAGAGAGAGAGAGGAGAGGAAATTCGTGGGACGGAAAGGGGAGGAGGGACAGGAGAGGAGGGATGAGGGAGAGGGACGAGTGGCGGGGGAATGAGAGGGGGAGGGAGGAAAGGGGGAGCGTGGGTGGGTAGAGGTAATAGAGAGGGAGAGGACGGGGAGGAGGAGGACGCAGAGGGGGGAATGGAGGAAGGATGGGGAGGGAGGGGTGAGGAGAGGCGGAAGGAAGGAGGAAAAGGGCAAGAGGGAAGGTAAGAGGCAGGGCATGGGAGAAGAAGAGGGATTGGACTTGGTGGTGCGGCGACGGTCTCTGCATCAGCAAATCCTTCAGCCAATGCAACCCCTCCTACTCCTCCTCTCACTCCTCCTCTTCCTCCCTCTCAAACCTTCCCTTCTCATCCCCCTCCCCCTCACCCTCGTCCACGTTACCCTCCTCCGCCTCAGACTCTTAGTTGATCCTCTTTCTCCTGCTCCTTGTCCCGCTCCTTCTCCGCCTCTTCCTCTTCCCCTCGCATCGGTGGGCGACAACGTCGTCGACGTCGACGATGGCGTCGACGACGCCGACCACGACGATGACGACGATGACATCACGACGACGGCGACCACGACGACGATACCAACGGAGATCACGACGACTGCAACGCCCACGTCGCCGACGTCGTCGACTCCAACATCATCGGCGGCGAAATCGGCGGCCTCCTCTGGCGGCGCCGCGGGGCGGAACACGGCGCCCACCGGCGCGTGGTCCGAGGGCACCCCCGAGCCGAGCAGGCCGCCGCCCTCGGCGCGGGCCTCTGGCGCGCGCGCGCGCCGTCAACTGCCTCGCACCTTCGCCTCTCGCAGCTTCGCCTCTCGCAGCTTCGCCCACGCTGTCGCCTCTTGCGCTCCAGGATTTGGATGGTGGGGCGGAGAGGGGGGCGACAAAAAGGTCGGTGCAAGGAGGGGGGGAGGTCTCCCTGGGCCTCTCTCGTCCTCCCCCCCATCCGCTCTCTGCGTTCTGTTGGGAGAGCAAAAAGAAGCTGATACCGCTACTCCTCGAGCGTCTGCGAGGGAAGGGCTACGGTATTGGTACATGTTCCTCCTCTGACCTTCCTTCTCCCTCTTCCCAGAGGGCCGACTCCTTGGCATGAGCGAGCGGGTCTTGAGCGAAACGGGCCCTGGATCCTTGGGCTTTCCTCTGGGACGAGTCCGTCTTGAGCAACGTTTGACCTGGGGCCCGGGGAGTGGAGTCTGAAGACCGTGAGAAACCACAACGCCCCGCAGAAGGCCGTCGGGAAACCGCCGGGCCTCCCCGAGCGTCGGCGTGGGCAGCAGGCTGCCCGGCACGGGCTCCAGCAGGCCTGGGGAGAACCACAGGTAATCCAGCGTGCCGTGTTCCTGGGGGCTGGGGGAGCGGGGCACCCCCCTCGTCCCCTGCCCCCCTCGTCCTCCTCCTCGTTCTCCGCTTCGTCCTGGTCCTCATCGTCCACCTCCTCTGCCTGCATCCCTTCTCCTCATAACGAACAAAAAGCATCATACCCGTTGCAACCTCAGACGTGTCGGTAGGGCGGGCCAGGCGTTTCGCTGGAGACTTGCTCACCATCTATGATCAATGATCCTGCAGCTTGAACATTGCAATGGCTTCAAGGATGCAGGGAGATTGTTCTCAAAATGTGACTCTCGCCTTAACACCGTACACATTATTCGTCAAAGTTTGCAGCAGCTTCAAGGATGCAGGGGGGTCGGGCTCGCACAGTGGTTCTCGCCTCACCGCCGCGCATCTATTCGTCTGAAAAGTTTGCAACGAGATGGGGAAATCAGTTTCAAAATGGAACTCTCGCCTCACCGCCGCGCATATTCGTCTCAAAAGTCCCACCAGCCCTCTGGGTCTAGGTGGTCCCTTCCAACCCCCTTCTTCCCCTTCGGGGAGGGCTCCCCTGGACCTGGACGGGGTCTGTCGCAAGCGGTCAGGGCGTCCACAACGGCCTCGGCGAGGAAGCCACAATCATTGGTTTTACTACGATTTTGGCTGCATGTTGGCCTCTTGGGGGGGCAACCCTAAAATAAGCTCCCCTCTTCTTTGATCGATTTCTTCCGAGATGGCCCCAAGAAGCGCCCAGGAGGCCCCAGGAGGTCCCAAGATGCCCCCAAGATGGCCCCAAGAGGCCCCCAAGAGGCTCCCAGGAGGCCCCCAAGAGGACCAAGCGGCCCCAAGAGGCCCCCCCGAGGCACCCAAGACGCCCAAGAGCCCCCCAGGACCGCCAAGAGACCCCCAAGACGTCCTAAGAGACCACCAAGATGCACCAAAGAGATACCCCAAGAGGCTCCGAGAGGCATCCAAGAGACCTCTGGCCCTTTTGCTTGCCCTCCTCCTACTGCTACTTCCTCCTCCTACTCCTTCTCTTCCTCCTCCTCCTCCTCATCCTATTCATCCTCCTTCTCCCCACTCCCTCATCCATCCATCCAGCCTCTTCCATCTCGTCCTCCCTCCTTCGCACGGTTCGGCCGTCCCTCTCTTTGCTCCCGCACTTCCCTGATCACCTCAACTCGCCTGGACATCGTTTCTGGATGGGCTCGTGGGGATACGCTGAGCGTCTAGAATGTGCTACAGCTTCAAGGATGGAGGGGGAGATCAATTTCAAAATGGAACTCTCGCCTCAGCGCCGCGCAGATGCTTTAAAAACGTGCACAACAGTCTCAACAGAGGAGGGTGGCTCGTGGCTCCGTTCAAACAAATCTCTCCCTGGAGCCGCCTACATTCGTCTGAAACTTTTGACATGAATTCAATGACGGGCGCCGGCTCGTTCTCAAAAAGTGGCTCTCGCATTCGCGCCGAATGCACTCACTGTAACAGTCTTAAAACATTGCAAATGTTGTAAGCTTTGTTTCAACGTTGGGCTTTCGCTGGAGATTCTGTCAATATCAGAAACACTGAACTCTTAGCAGATGCAACAGCTGCACGGATAAACAACGGATCATGATCAAAATTGGACGTTCGGCCGACATTCCAAAATGCAAAAACTCAGAAGCTTGAACAGATGTTACAGCTGCACTGATGAAGGGCGGCCCTTTTCAGGATGGGAATTTCGCTTGAGCCATCCTCGACAATAACGGCCAAATGTGGCATCTATGCAGACGGAAACAATCCTTGTAAAACAACGGGGTTGCCGTGCCACACCTTGCTGATCTGTGAGAGAATGCGTTCGCGCGTTCTTTACCTCGACGCCGGCAAGATACAAGGGCGGTTCGTTCCTTTTCAAAACCGGGTTCAAAACAGGGCTCTTGCCCAACTGGCAGACCCATGTGATATTGGTCTGAAAACTGGTAAACGACCTAGAGCCGCGAGACAAGCGCGTAGGCAGGCGCGCGATCCCTTGCATCACACGCTTGCGCGCTTTCGAGGATAGTGACATAACTCAAGCGCACAAGCCAAGCGCGCAATGTGCAACGCGCATGGTGCGACGGCCGCGGCGGCAAGGATAACGATCAAACGACCCCACCCGCGGCGTGCTACAAAACAGGCCCCCACATCGCCCGCGGTCCTGAACTCCCCACTTTCGCCGTCGACACGTGATGGGATACTGGCAGGCCACACATGCGGAGTAGCCCTCTGGCTCTGGGCGTAGGTGGTGTAGCGAACAAATTATTCCAACCTTCATTCTCGCCTCCGCGGTGAGGCATACCACCCACCCGACACTTTTTCCCCGGGCCTTGACGGCCCCAGTCGCTGGTCGCTGGAACGTCGAAGATGTTTCAAGATGGCTCCGTAACGACAAGTACGACGAGGAGCACGAGCACGAGCGCGGCAGCAGCGCCACTGGCGCCCTGCGTGTAAGGCCCGCTGAGGGCCCGCCGAGGGGCCCGGCAGCGGGCGCGGAAGGAGGCCAGGCCTCCGCCCCCGCGCCGCCCGCGGCCCAGGTCAGCTCCGGCTCCGTTCCTGAGGCGCCGCGGCCGCCGCCCCCCCAAGGGAGAAAAACTTAGGGGGGGCGGGTGAGAGGAGGGGGAGCAGGGTTCTTGTGTCGGCCGTCGGGTTCTTGTGTCGGCACTTGGGTTCTTGTGCTACCCGCGCTGGTTTTCAATTCGCAGTGGTATCCTTTTTGCTAGCCCCAGAGCCTCGGGCAACTCTTGAGGGTATGAATTTCTTCCCCTCACACAATGGCCACACAAAGCACAACGTGGAGGCACGATGACAGCACGTTTGCAATAGCAGTAGCATTAGTAGTAGTTGTGGTCGAAATAAGAGCACAAGTAGAAGTATTCGTTGTAGTAGTATTAGTACTAGTATTATTGTTATGATTATTATTATTGGTAGTAGTAGTGGTAGTAGTCGTAGTAGTAGTAGTAATAGTAGTAGTAGCAGAAGTAGTAGTAGTAGTAGTAGTAGTAGTGACAGTAATAGTAGTAGTATAAATAGTAATAATAATAATCGTAATAGAAGTCGAAGTAGTAGTAATTGCAGTAGTAGTAGTAGTAGTAGTAGTAGTAGTAGAAGTAGAAGTAGAAGTAGTAGTAGTAGTATTACTCGTTGTAGTAGTAGTAGAAGTCGAAGTAGTAGAGTAGTAGTAGTAGAAGTAGTAGAAGTAGTAGTAGTAGTAGTAATAATAGTAGAAACAGTGCTAGTAGTAGTAATCGCAATGATCGTGGCAATAGTCGTAGTCGCAGTCGTAGTAAAAATAATGATAATTGTACTGTTGAAAGTCAGTCGGAGTACTAATAGTAGTACGAGTAGGACGAACACAAAAAGTCGTAGTCGTAGTCGTAGTAGTAGTAGCAATAGTAGTAGTAGTAGTAACAGTAGCAGGCGTCGTCGAAGCCGCAGTAGTAATCGTAATAGTGGGAGTCGTAGTAGTTGTAGTAATAGTGAACTTAGTACTAGTAGTAGTAGTAGTAGTAGTAGTAGTAGTAGTAGTAGGAGTAGTAGTAGCAGTAGTAGTTGTAGTAAAAGTAGTAGTAGTAGTAGTAGTAGTAGTAGTAGTAATAGTAGTCGTCGTCGTCGTCGTAGTAGTAGTAACAATAGTAGTTAGCAGCCGTCGTAAGTATACTGGTCGGATATGTAGCTGTAGTAGTAGTAGTCGTCGTCGTAGTAGTAGTAGTTAAAGAAGTAGGAGCTGCTGTTGTTCTAGTGATGAGTAGCCGTAGTGGTAGTGGTAGCATGGTAGTAGCAGCAGCAGTACTAAATGTAGTAGAAGTAGAGATAGTAGTAGTAGTAGTACTAGTGGTATTAATAATAATAGTAGCCGTAGTAGTAGTAATAGTTGTCGTCGTAGTATGAGTCGGAGTAGTAATGGTAGTCGTGGAAGCAGTCGTAGTAGTCGTAGTCAAAGTCGTAGTAGTAGTAGTAGCAGTAGTAGTAGCAGTAGTAGGAGTAGTCGTGGTAGTAGTAGTAGTAGTAGGAGTAGTAGTAGTAGTAGTAAGTATACTGGTAGTAGTAGAAGTAGTAGCAGTAGTAATAAGGAGTAGCTGTAGCAGTGCTAGTAAGAGTAGTAGTAGTAGTCGTAAAGTGATAGGAATGTAGTAGTAGTAGTAGTAGTAGAAGTAGTAGTAGTAGTAGTAGTTAAACAGGAAGTCGTAGCAGTAGTAGTAGTAGTAGTGAAAGTAGTCGTAGTAGTAGTAGTAGTAGTAGTAGCACTAGTAGTACTCGTAGTAGTAGTGGTAGTAGTAGGAGTAATCGTAGTCGTAAGAGTCGTAGTAGCAGTGGCGGTAATCGTAGTAGTAGTAGTAGTAGTAGTAGTCGTCGAAGAAGTGGTTGTACTAGTAATAGAAGTAGTAGCGGTACTAGTAGTAGCACGAGTGGGAGTGGAAGCAGTAGTAGCAGTAGCAGTAGTAGTAGTAGTAATAGTAGTAGTAGTAAGAAGGGTAGTAGTGTTAGTCGTAGTCGTAGTAGTCGTGTAATCGTAGTGGTAGTAGGAACACTAGTAGTAGTACTAATAATAATAAATAAGCAGTAGTCGTATTAGTCCCCGTAGTAGAAATAGTCGTAGTAGTACTTGGCGTACTAGTAGTAGTAGTCGTCGTCGTAGTAGTAGCAGTAGTAGTAGTAGTAGTAGTAGTAGTAGTAGTGGTAGTAGTGTGGTAGTAATAGTAGTAGTAGTAGTAGTACTAGTAGTAGTGGTAGTAGTAGTAGTAGTAGTCGTAGCAGTAGTAGTAATGATGGTAGCAGTGTTGGTAGTACTAGTAGTAACAGTAGTTGTAATAGTCGCAGCAGTAGTAGTCGTAGTAGTAGTTGTAAGAGTATTAGTAGTAGTAGTAGTAGTAGTAGTAATAGTAGTAGTAGTAGTAGTAAAAAGTAGTAGTACTAGTAATAGTAGTAGTAGTAGTGGTAGTAGTAGTAAGTAGTAGTAGTAGCCGTAGTAACAGGAATAGTAGTAGCAGTCGTATCAGAAGTGATCGTAGTGTAGTAGTCGTAGTAGTAGTAGTAGTAGTAGTAGTAGTAGTAGTAGTAGTAATAGTGGTAGTAGTATTAGTAGTAGGAGTGGTAGTAGTAGTAGTAGTAGTAGTAGTCGTAGTAGAAGTAGTCGTAGTAATAGTAGTCGTAGTCGTAGTCGTAGTCGTAGTAGTAGTAGTCGTAGTAGTAATAATAGTCGTAGTGGTATTAGTAGCAGTAGTCGTAGAAGTAGTAGTAGATAGTAGTAGTAGTAGTAGTAGTAGTAGTAGTAGTAGTAGTAGTAGTAGTAGTAGTAGTAGTAGTAGTAAAAAGTAGTAGTAATAGTAGTAGTAATAGTAGTAGTCGTAGTAGTAGTAGTAGTAGTAGTGGTAGTAGTAGTAGTAGTCGTAGTCGTAGTAGTAGTAGTAGCAGTAGTAGTAGTAGTAGTAGTAGTAGTGGTAGTAGTATTAGTAGTAGGAGTGGTAGTAATAGTAGTAGTAGTCGTAGTAGAAGTAGTCGTAGTAATAGTAGTCGTAGTCGTAGTCGTAGTCGTAGTAGTAGTAGTAGTAGTAGTAATAATAGTCGTAGTGGTATTAGTAGCAGTAGTCGTAGAAGTAGTAGTAGATAGTAGTAGTAGTAGTAGTAGTAGTAGTAGTAGTAGTAGTAGTAGTAGTAGTAGTAGTAGTAGTAGTAAAAAGTAGTAGTAATAGTAGTAGTAATAGTAGTAGTCGTAGTAGTAGTAGTAGTAGTAGTAGTGGTAGTAGTAGTAGTAGTCGTAGTCGTAGTAGTAGTAGTAGTAGTAGTAGTAGTAGTAGTAGTAGCAGTAGTAGTAGTAGTAGTAGTAGTAGTAGTGGTTTAGAAAGGCTGCACTCTTCACACCCTCACCCCCCTTCAGAGCAAGAATTATGATTGTGCGTTGTGCGGTGCCCTGTCCGAGTTGCCACGGCGGGATGTCGCCTCACGCCAGGGACCTGCAATTTTCCTGGCGGAAGACCCAAGCATATGCAGCTGTGGGTACCGCTCTCGGTGGAACTCCCTATGGGGCCACGATCCTCGTGAGGGGTGCGCCGGAATGGCCCGAGGCCTCCATGCGAACCCTGCCACTGGGGCCTTCGGTGGAATTCCCTATGGGGCCGCGATCCTTGTGAGGGGTTTGCCGAAATGGCCTGAGGACTTCGGTAAAGCTCCTATAGGACCACAATCCTTCTGAGGGGTGTGCCGAAATGGCCCGAGGCCGCCATGCGAACCTTGCCACTGGGGCCTTCGGTGGAGCTCCCTATGGAGCCACGATCCTCGTGAGGAGTGCAAAAATTGCCCGAGGCCGCCATGCGAACCCTGCCTCTGGGGCCTTCGATGGAACTCCCTGTGGGGCCACGATCCTCGTGAGGGGTGTGCCGAAATGGCCCGAGGCCGCCATGCGAACCCTGCCAATGGGGCCTTCGGTGGAGCTCCTATGGGGCCACGATCCTTGTGAGGGGTGTGCCGAAATGGTCCGAGGACGCCATGCGAACCCTGCCACTGGGGCCTTCGGTGGGGCCCCTATGTGGCCACGATCCTCGTGAAAGGTGTGCCGAAATGGCTGCGAACCCTGCCACTGGTGCCTTCGGTGGAGTTCCCTATGGGGCCACGATCCTTGTGAAGGGTGTTCCAGAATGGACCGACGCCGCCATGCGAACCTTGCTGCTGGGGCCGTCGGTGGAGCGCCCTATGGGGCCACGATCCTTGTGAGGGGTGTGCCGAAATGGCCAAGAGCCGCCATGCGAACCCTGCCACTGGGGCCTTCGGTGGAACTCCCTATGGGGCCGCGATCCTTGTGAGGGGTTTGCCGAAATGGCCCGAAGCCGCCATGCGAACCCTGCCACTGGAGCCTTCGGTGGAGCTCCCTATAGGGCCACGATCCTCGTGAGGGGTGTGCCGAAATGGCTCGAGGCCGCCATGCGAACCCTGCCAATGGGGCCTTCGGTGGAGCTCCTGTGAGGCCACGATCCTTGTGAGGGGTGTGCCGAAATGGCCCGAGGCCGCCATGCGAACCTTGCCACTGGGGTCTTCGGTGGAGCCCCCACTGGGGCTACGAAGCGCTGTGCTGGGTGGGTGAAACGCAGGGGGGAGGGGGAGGAGGAAGGAGGGGGAGGGGAGGAAGGAGGGAAGGAGGAGGAACGCTGGTACCGTCCTTTCAAAGTGACGACCCAACACCACAGAGTGGTTTGGGAAAAATGTGCTTCGATGGGCACTGCACCCACGCCCAATTTTACCAAAATGGGGCACAAAAGCTGTCCCGGCAGCGTGGCAAACATTAGGCATGTCAACCCGCCGACTTTTTTTTTTTTGTCGGGGGGGGGGGGGGGGGGCAGGCCACCAAGCTACGCGGATGAAGTTCCAGCAACTTTTGAACTTTCCAGCAACAGATCCAATACCAGGCCGACCAGGACGACCAGGCCGACACCCGGCAGGCCGCTGACGCAGCATTGGATAAACAATGTTGTGACTGTCGTGCTGGGAACCCGCATGTACATGCAAAGCGTAGACTCATGCAGTGTTCCCCGCCCCATTTCACCACTCCACGAATGCAACGTACTCGCATGATAGTTGCTCCACCTTCTTCAATACTGAATCGAGCGCAATGGACCAATCCTGCTTGTGGCGTCCTCCACTAACAGAAACACTATACCCGCGTGCCCATCTTTCACTTCGAA